GAAAAGTTCTAACTGGGCCAGCATTGGAAATATTTCTCCCCTGGTGCAGGAACAAAAAAGCACCTTGGTTTTTCTGCCTTCTCTACTGCTGGTTGTAGCCTGGTTTTCCAGCTGTTTCTGGAAAGGTTTTGATGAGAGTAATGGCAGAAGCCTGCTATAGACAGCTGCTTACAAAGGCAGAGCTACAGTCAGACCCTGGCCTTGTCTCTGCCTGGCTGGATGTCCCTAGGCAAGTCACTTAACTTTACACCTCAGAGTGCATTGATCTCCTTAAGGTCTAATGAGACTCTCATTCAGTAAACTCAGTAGGTTGTCACACAGGTCCCTGTTTCTTCTGAACTCACCTAGCTTACCTGCCACTTAAGGCTAGTAAGCCAAGCATCAGTTCACATCCAACTTCATGCGATACAGATTTGTGAACCAGAAAGTTTCAGCCTCAGAGCCTCAGAGGGATCACAGGGAGCAGTCTAAGCCCCTCAGGATAACTTTTAAAACCCAAAGTATTTTGCACTATCTCACACCTGTCTGCCTCATTGGCTGTGTTAGCTACCTGTCGCTTTTGTAACAAATTACCCCAAAACTTAGTGGTTTAGAAACAACACAGCTTTAACACCTGGCAGTTTCTGTGGATCAGGAAACTGGGGGTGGCTCAGGTGGATCCTCTGGCTGAGTCACAAGGCTGTCACCCAGGGTACCTCTGGAGCCTCCATCAACTCAATGTTCAATGAGGGTAGATCTGTGGCTAGGTTCAGTCCTGTGGCTGTTGAAGGCTCCATCTCCTCCCTGGCTTTTGGCCCCAAGTCCCTTTTGTCACCTGCCTTATTGGTGTTGTGACAGGGTAGCTCACAACATGGTGACTGACTATCAGAACAAGTGAGATGCCAAGAGAAGGAATGTAAGCAAGGAGGAAGTCTTTATAACCTCATCTCAGAGTGGCGCCCATCACCACTTTATTCTGTTTATTAGATGTGAGTTACTAGTCCAGTCTGAACTCATGGGAGGCGATTACACATGAGCATGAACACCAGGAGATGGGAGCTGGGCAGGGACATTTTAGAAGCACAAATTGATATTTTACTTCATTTGTCTATTCTCACTCTTAGGTTCTTGGCATAGGGGCCTCTTTCCTTCTATGAACAAGTCTAACTCCTTCCTATCTCAGGACCTCTGAGCATGCAGATCTGTCTTCCTAGTGACTTTTCCTTTCCTCCCTCCTTAGTTGTGCTTATTTTCAGATTTCATTTACAGCCCCATTTTTGCAGAGAAGCCTTTCCTGGGCAACCCACTGCTGAAATAGAGGAAGGAGCAACACAGAACCCCAACTCAGCCCTAGGTAACTCTAGGATGTTGCCTGGAGCCCGGACCATGATTCTTCTCTCATACACTGTATGGTTTAATATGTTGATATATGTTAATATGTTTTAGCAGTAGTAGTAATCCTCAAAAAGAAAAACTTCCTATTTAGTTCATGGGTTCAAAATGTATTGTGCTAGGCTGCCCCAGGAGACAAAACAGAAGAGACAATCCCTATTTCAGGCAAGATCCCAGCTCAGGGTACATATATTTTTCTGGCCAAGTTGCCTTTTTCATATGTGTTCAGTTATTCACTGGTAGAGTGTATGATTTTAAGGACATAAATTCAGATCTGGGATGAATATAAATTTTTCTATAATAACAAGCTGAATTTGATTTCTGTTTTGAACCTCCCTTTGGCCTGGGGAGGGAGCAGCTCAATCTTAGTCAACCAGCTCCTCTTGTTTTTCAGAGATTTCATCTATGCTTGTTGTAGACAGGTGATGAGAGGATGGATGCCTGGACTTTGATGTCACCTGTGTCTGTAGTGTTTGTCATTCTGAGTCATTGGTCAGTGAGTGACTCCGTCCCTGGCTCCTATCTGTAACCCATCTCCAATCAGGTGACTCTAATGCTTCTGTGACTTTCTGGAGCTCACAGGAATCATTCTGTCACCTCTTGTGCCTCATAGGATCTGTGAAATGTCAAAGCCCTCAAAGTCTTCTGGGCATATTAAGTAGCCTCTTCTGCTCTTTGGGTGCTTCCTATGTCCCTGAGGGCCCCTCTTCCCTTTTGCTTTGAAATCCCAGTTTTGTGACTCTGGGATTTTCCTCTTTGATCCTATACCAGGCCCAAGAAGCAGAGGATACAAATCTCTTTCTCAAGGACATTGGCATTATCATGGCCCCTAGAATTCCCTTTATACAGCAACCTGGGGAATATTTTTCTAGTCTGCAGGGAAGAACTTTTGCTCATGGCATCTTCTTGCAAAATGCTATAGCTAAACCATGAATTCTTTCCAACTGCCTGAGAACCTCATCTGGAAAGCTCAGGAGCTGAGGAAGGCCCCTTTGCTTCTCCTTTCTGCTGTCATACAGAAAAGCCTTATGCTCATAAAGTGGGGGAAGGCCAAGCAGAAGAAGCTAATGCTGGAGGAAGCCCCATTTGCCCCTCACATTCATTCCATGTGCATTTGTTAGGACCAGCCATGGGTCAGTCCCTGCTTGGGGTGCTAAGGATAAATTAAGATTCAATCACAGTCCTGAAGAATTGCACCCTCATGGAGTAGGGGAGGATGGGCTTGTAAATTGATCACCCTAGAATAATGTGATCAGGGATGCTTAGGATGTGGGAGCCTCGAGGATACATCCCTTCCTGGCTGACCATCAGGAGGCAAGAGCTAAGCTGGAAGGGTAGTCTGGAGCTGGATGAGCAAGCAAAGGGCAGTTCAGCAGAGAGGCATGGCTGTCCAAAGGTGCGGAGCTATGAAGACTGGCCTCTGAGCAGCTGCCAGCCTGTCTGGTAGAAGGGAACACAGGTTATGTCCCCAGAACTGGCAGGAATCAGGTAACAAAAGGTCTTGGGTGTCAGGCTGAGGTATTTGGACTTTTATCTTCAGGAAATATAGACTCATGGGAGGATTTTTAGGCATGCAGTGATACGGCTGGCTTTGTGCTTTAGACAGTTCTCGCAGGGCCATGGTAGAGGATGGGCTAGAGATAGGGTCCCCAGAGGAAAGAGTCAGCTGCAGTCATCCAGGCCAGCAAAAATGAGGCCAGGAGCATTTGGTGTCAGAGAGGTTGTGGGGGATGAAGAACTGAGAGTCCAGGAGGACCCCAAGATTACTAATGGTGCCAGTTAGCAGGTTGGCAGAGGTGATGCCAAGAGGAAGAAGTTGGAGAAAAAGAAAGTGTTCAGTCTGGGGTCTACTTTGGAGTCAGGAGCCTGTGAATAGGGAACCTCTCAGTTTTGAGGTTCTGAACATCACCAGAAGGTTCTGGAGCACAAAAGCTCACATTAGAAGTATGTGAAGAGGGCAGCTCCAGATTCCAGTACTTTCTAATAGTTGCTATAGACTGTGGTCAGAGAGGATGTTCTCAACAGTAGATGACCAAAAAAAAAAAAAAAAGAAATCCAGTTCACAGTTGCTCAAATAAACAAATGTGTTAAGACCCCCCCCAGAAGATGAGGGTCCCTCAGCTCAACTGTTCCAAGAACCTGGATTCTTTTTTCTTTCTGCTCTGCTCTCCTTAGCCATGGGCTTTTGTCCTCTTGGTAACAAGATGGATCTTGCATCTGAAATTTCAAAATGTCCATGAAATAGAACAACATTTCAGTGAAATGAAACATTGTATTTTTTTCTGGTTCCACCAGTATGTTAGCATTGGCATCTGAAGTGACATATATTTGTCATCTCATTGTGGACAAAGTGCATTGTGTCTGGCAGTCTTTTAGTGAGATTGCAAAACATTTAGAAGGCAATAGGGAGATGTGGAAAGAGCCTTTAGGGCCACACAGACTCGCATTTTAATCCTGGGCTTTCTGTGAATGTTGAATGGATCACTTCCTTCTCTGGCACGCCCTGTTGGCACCTCTGAAATGGAGAGTCAGGTGTTAGCTCTCGCCTTATGATGTAAACTCCTCTTTTTTCCCATTACAACTTGCTGTGTGAGGATAAGTTTTGAAGAGCAACCTTAAGGGGGAACCAAGTCCAATCTCATGAAATTAATTGCTAGTAGAATTTGAGGCAGATGCCGGTTGGAAAAAATGGATGTGTGGAGGCAAGTGTAAGGAAATGGATTATTTGTCTA